GCTGCAGTTTGGATGACTCACATGTTTAATCAGTGTCCAAACACTGAAATCTACAAGATAACAACTGTGATAAACTGATATGCTATAACAGGGACTGAGTTGCAGTAGGAGGGATCCTAGCATCATATTAAAAAAAAAAAAAAAAAAGAAACATGTATAAGCGCTTAAAAATGGAAATAGCTAATTTTAACACATTCTGTTTGGGTTTTTTTGGCAGTTGAACAAGAAATGCTAAATTCTGACCTTCAGATATATATATATAGATAGATATATATATATATCTTGGATTGTCTAGGCATTTGGTTATTCAAAATACCACGAAACTGGTTAAGAAACAATCGTGTAGTTTCCATACCTGACTAGAATTTTGGCACTATCCTCTCACACTATTACTTCCTCAGGAAAGCAATGCATACAAGAGCAATATAATCATCTAGTGCCACGAAGGAGCAACCACTTGAAACCAGCTACCTCAGGTTCAAACACGTATTCAGGATATTCATGCACAGTACAAATTACTTTTTGCTTGATGCCTGGATGCACAATTACACTCCTTCTGAAGTGCAGGAGAGATACATAATTCATAGAGAGCTATACCTCATGACCCAAGTGTATTTGTCCTTGCAAGTCATACCCAGGTTTGGCTGCTTTATTGCCTCAGCTTGACACTGTGATGTGCACCCAGACTGCAATGAGAAAAAATGAGATGTTACAGTGACAGCGCTGGCAGAAGGTAACAATCTAGGAAAAATCTCCTCTGCAAAACATCCCTAAGCGTGACAGACATTGTCAGAATCAGTACTAAGGTCACGGTCAGAAGATCACAGCAAAAGCAGCTGTTCAGCTGGAGACAAATCACAAATTACCTCCTTTGTCCCAACACTGTCAGCAGAAATGACGTGAAGCGGAATTGAAATGGGCGTGGAAGGTGCCCAAAGCCAGCCTGACTGCACTAAAAGCCAAGGGAGAAAGCCCACGTGATCTGTTCTATAAAATGAGTGATGGGATGGAGCCCCCATGAAGGCTGGTAATAACCTTAATCACTGCAGCCACTGCTGCGATGGCCAGAGGGGAGCACTGGGAACCCAAGGGGACGCACGGTGAGGAGAAGAAGAGGCAGAGAACCACTCACAAACAGGGATGAGACAGCCCTCACAAAGAGGTATTGTTTCCAGCTGAACACATTGCTGAGGGGTTCACAGTCAGCTGAGATGAATAAGTCCTTTCACCTCTGAGAGCACTCAGCTGCAGAGCGAACTGCGACGAGAGGTAAAGTGCTTTCACTGCAATGTACCTTTCCAGAACAGAGAAAACTGCTGACTTTGACCTCTGAAAATGTATCAGAGGACACAGCTTCGGCTGTATGTAAGACACTGAGCGCTGTCCCTTATGAACAGTATTCCAATCTGCCTATTCAAAGTCACAGGAACCCTTCCCGAAAAACTGCTGGGGCACCAGGGAGAAAATGTGCAAGAGCTGAGCAAGTGAAGCAAATGAGACACTAAGTCAAGTTAAGGTCAACTCAGTGAAACAAATAAAAATCATACTCTGTTTTACACTGGGCAAGTTCCTCAGTGTATCCATCAGCTAGTCACACAGATGGAGAGGAGGGAAATAGAAAGGCTGGAACAGGAACTGAAACAGCAGCAAGACTCTTGCTGTTAACAGAAGCAAGAGCAGCTTACTGTCTCAGGACACAAAACTAAGGCCCAGCTGTGTGCAGGGAGATGGAGAAGTATTCTTTCACCTGGCTTTTCTATCTTGCTAAAAAGTCATCATTTGTTGAGAACTAAAACAGTGACCCAGGGCTGAACAACCTAAAACGAACACAGAACAAAGATGAGCACAAGCACAGCACTGAAGCCACCCCTCGATCCACAGCACGCTTAGGGTGCTACGCCCTTTATGCCCTTCACTAAATCTGCTCCTTAGAGGTTCCTAAAGCCGGAAAAGCGTTCAGGGAGTTCTCCTCCTCCTCCGAAGAAATCCCAAGGACGAGGCAACATTATGCTTGCTCCCTCTCTCAACAGTTCTGTCATGCATCATTTCCCCTTGCCCCTGCAGAGTTTTGTCCTGCACTGTTAACGTTACAGCAGCACTAGAAATTCCTGGAGAGACAGCAGGGTCATAAAGTAACGTTGGGCATTTCACTGAGCAGACTGCCCCTTCTGTCCTGGTGGCACACAGGCAGCTGCCACAATTACAGCTGTGAAAGACACTACCAACAACTGAGTGTCCCGAGCTGCAGGAGCTGAAGTTTAGCCACGCTGCTTATTCTGGCAGACTGATAGGGAGCACAAAGTAACTTTTAACGGCAATAGCAATTTCTGGGCACCAAATCCATTTTTCTGTGTTCTGCACAGATAAGAGAATCATCCACAGTAGCTAGTACACTAAAGCTTTTAAGTTTCAAGCTGAACACAAGTGGAATACTTCAGGCCAATAAGAGGAATCTTAGAAAAGTTAAGCTACTTTACCAGACAACTCTTAACTCCTATTTTTACACCTTCTTTCTAATACTCACTGCTGCCTCAATAACTTTACTTGCTATTTTCAGGGTTCTGAAAAAGTATCACGGAGATCCTCAAATTCCCAAAGCATCTGAAAACTAGCCATTCCTTAAAACTGTAGCTGGATCCATGTTATGAGAACTTCCTAAACATTTGTTCTCGGTTTTGATGCAGAAAGTACGACACTAACACACACGACAGTTGAGCAGATGAAACAAACCTTGAAGTTACTAATAACTCAAACATGAGAGAAGTCACAATAATCCATCTCAATGCTGTTCCAGGTTCTCTTCCTGCAAAGCAAAAAAAAGTAACTGTTTCAGGAAACTTAAGACTGCTGCACAGAAATGTCCAAAACAGTCTTTTTTAAAAAAAAAAAAAAGCTGATGCCCACAAGGTTAATCTTTCAGGCTTTCCAGCCTGGGAGGCAGAGTCAACAGCAATAAAGTCTGCCTTAAAGAACATATAGGCACACACCCTGTCCCTAAAGAAAAGGTCAAGAGCAGCTACTGACCAATTAAAATGTTTCCTTTCACCATTTCCTTACCACCCCTCACAACAGCAGCATGAGTGCCTTGTAATTCCCACAATAAAAAAAAAAGATAAGCTCCCTCACCACCTAACCACCCATTCAGCCATCTTAGCTCAAACCACTTTAATCAGAGATTTGTGCTCCCAGTGCCAAGTTGAGCTGGCCCAGAGTTGTTATTTTTTTACAGGAGCACTCCTGCATTCCCATCTTTTTGGCAGGGGCAAGTAGGACAGTCACAGCAGAACACAAAACCATGACGTGCCTCACTCCACAAAGAGGACGAGTTTGCCTCTGTGGCCCAGTTGCTCACACACCGACAAAGCCTCCTGGTTGGTTTTTCATTAAACAGCAGAGCAGAAAGAAGCCAGAGGTCGGTGTGTGCAAGACCCACTCCCCTGGCGCGGCGCAAATGACACCTCCAGTAACTCGAGACACAGCGGTTGTACCCACAGCAGATACCACCACGCACACCACGGGGCTTCAGCCACGGGAGGAAGAGCACCCACGTTCCAAACCCTTGCAAGAAGATGCATTTCTTCAGCACGTCTTTAGATGCTGATACAAAAAGTGGCCAAAAAAAAAAAAAATTTCGCCTCGAAAGAGATAAACCAGTATTTATATTAACGATAAAGGTTTGATTGCTTTTGATTAATTTAGCTTTTTTCGCTGCAAGACTGGTTTCCATGGAAATGCAAGCAGACTAAAAACCTGCAAGAAGTGAGTCAGTTTTGCCTGTTTATGTCTCCTCAGTTCCCATGGAAACAGACATTAAAAAAAAAAAAAAAAAGTAATAAAAAGGATAAGGGTCCTGAAATACCTTCAGAAAATCTCTTCCCAGAGCTTTATCTCTTTGGCTTCCTTTCCAGAACTAGAGTTGAAAATAACACCGAGCAACAGATGACAGAGTAGTGACTTGATTTTTTTATGGAGACATCAACAGAGCGTATCTGGAAATGTTTCAAAAACCACATTCAAACTGACAAGCTTGATATATATAGCTACAAACTGTATTAACTTAGGTTTTGGCAAAAGCACCTAAAGCAGGGTATCTATTTCCTTAAATTAATTCCATGCTAATGTAGAGACACACAATGGAGAACAAGAAAACAGCATCACACACTGTCCTTGTCTGAAGTATATTTCAATACTTTGAGAAAAGGGGGGAAAACCAAAAAGCTGCTTTGGGGGAATGAGTCCAATATTTCCATAGCCAGGCCATTTCTTTAATGGAATCATTCCTTCCTTACAAGACATGCATCTTGAAGTTGCAAAATCGGCTCTACACACACCAGGTTGAGTAACAAATACCGGTATCAAATTTGTTATGAGCAAAAATGCATTTCTCCAAGCTGTTGAAGCAAACCTAAGAGGCCTTGTCAGCCAGACCTCATCTCCCACTGTACTTTTCACAGACAGTGGTGCACCTTCCCACGAGCTGTCTTCTTCACACTGGTACACATAATATCTTCCTTCCTCCTCAGAAACAAAAGCATCAGGGAAGGTGGAAGGAATAGGATGGGAAATTGTTAGGAAAGAGGCTGCAGGGCACATCTCAGACCTCCAAAGCCTGATCCAATCACCACAATTACTATGCAAGAATTCCCTGGCAACCAAGCGTCCAGAAACCCGATGAGCAGAGTAGGTGTGAGTATCTGCTGCTCCAAGATCCTTCTGGAACGTTCAGGACAGCCCAACCCGATGACAAACCTTTTACTTCCTTGTTTGTCTGCCACATCACAGTTCTGTGTGCTCAGCACACCTCCATGCAACTCAACACACTTCATCAGAGGGCTACAGAACCTGTCACCACTGCCTGCCTGGGAAGAACATGCAAGGACGGTGCAGTTTCTTACCCCTACTGTCAGAGACTGAAGCTGTGACACAAAAATAGGAAAGAGAGAAAAAAAAAAAAATCTCACCTCTGTCCCAACAATCACCAGAACTCAAGGGCCCTCCTGCATTTGCACAAGTGTCACTTATACACCTCGTTTCTGTACTTTGCTGCTGCTCTGAGAACTAACAACATGTTGCCACCGACAGGCTTTGAGAGAGAGGGGCAGCAATCACTGGAGGTCTGTCTTTAATGGAAGAAACACCTGAACTTAATTCAGTGTTAATTAGTTCACATTAGCCAAACTCGATCTCTTCTTGTCATGGGAAAGATAAGCCCTAGAGAATTAATTATTCCTTATTCTCCTTCGTATTTTGGCAAGGTTGTGGAGTTGCACAGCAAGGAGAACAGTCTTCAGAACTCAATAAGGCATCACTCAAAGAGGAAAGATTTAACATTAAATGGAGAACATTTAATGTTGAGAGATCGTTAAGAGAAACACTCTTGTGTATCTTTCAGTCTATTTTCAAGTTTAGCCTCCTTTCTTGCAGAAGTCAGAAGTGCACATAAACAAATTACTTAAGATATTCACTTACTTTCGAAGCTAAATACACAAACATTCAAGTCTCAGAGAGACCAGATTCTTTATACAGTTACCACTCAAATTCACTCATAACAACAACACGTGCAGGCATTTTCTAAAACATTAAGTGAACAAACCACACAGACAGCAAGCAAGCAAGCAGATCAAGTGTTTTCCACCATACTCTATGGCAAATTTTTTTTTGGTTTCCATTATTAAAGACAGGTGTCAAGTTCACTAAAACCAATCTCTGAAGAGATTTGCAAGGGTGTCAGATGGCCGGGTCAGATTAGTTTCGTGCCTCCTCCAGCACAAAGAGCAGAACAGAAGAGAGGAATGTGACTGGTTAAGCTAGGGAGTCACTATTGAACAGAAAAAAGACAATGGTCACAAGAAACGCGAAAATAATTTAATAAAAAGGTAACGTACACGCAGTGAACAATCTTGAATCATTAAGCACGCAAAAAAATTACCACATGTGACCTAGTTTTGCCTTTGGGGACATCAGCATTATCACACCAATCTTAAAGAAATTTACAAGGTCACACACTGAATTCAGGAAACCATCTGCCCTGTGCACTGAAGTAGGCAAGGCTCCCCTAAGCAAATAGAAAGTATAATTGCCCCATTAGACGTTGTATCATATTACACATGCTCAAGGAATTTTATTTAATCACAGTTAAGTAAGTCAATTCAAGTCTGTGATTTGTTAACTTCCAAACGTTCAGAAGCTTAACATTAACTCCTGATACTGAGTTTCCCAATAAGGACTTTTAAATTTGCATTTTGGAGCTGCGTAAGTTCCTCCTGTATAAAATCACATCATAAATAAAATGGGGCTTGGTGTATACAAAACTCTGAAGACCCAACTGAAAACAGGGACCATCTTCACTACTTTAAAAGTAACATGGAAAATTTTGTCCTCTTACCCTGGACTGCCATTCACACTAATATTTTTAGGAGCTTCATCTGATATTTAAGACACAATCCATAGGAGTGTCTAGAAGGAACAACAGTACAGCCTGAATCATTTGTGACAACTGATAAAGATAAAGATCAACAATCTAAATCCTAAGTCTAAAGCATCATCGCTCTGCATGTGCACTGCAACTTTGAGAACAAATGAACACATTTTACACAAAAGATTAATAAAAAGGAGACGCACACCAAACAGAAGGTCTGTGATGTCACCTCACAGTGCTCCTGCCAGAACATCCTGGCTACCCAAAATCAGGTGGTATAACTTCATAATGGATCACGGGGTAGCAGGTAAGTGTAAGGTGATAGAACAGTTAAGGCCACAATGACAGTCCTGAGCTGTTACAGAAAGACTGCGGCACCTGGAGAGGGGGAATTCCCAGAAATCCACTGCAAGGTGACAAGGCTACGCAAAAAAGGGACAAAGATGGTTTCCCAAAAGACCCCAGCACCTTCCCAGCAACAGACTGGTAGGATCAACAAAGGATGGAACGGTATGGAGATGGCACGGCCTTCCCAAGGGGAACTCAGGAAGCTGACCCTTAGGCCCGTATCATCTGTCTAGCACCCCAAAAATTAGTTTCTTGACCACAGTCACTCAAATTGCCTAAGAAAAAAAAAGTATAAGAAGAGATCGGACATGAGCAAAAATTAGGGAGAAGTTCCATCATTTCTGCGGGGGTAACCGACGGGCTGCCTTCTCTCCTTTCACTCCTCAGGGGTGAGCAACTGTTTTTATGTTTTACTTTGCTTTCACCTTACTAATTGTCCTTTGCTTCCTTATATCTTGCCTTACTAACTGTACTTTGCTTTCTACATTTTACTTTACCCGGATTTTGATATTTTAATTTGCTTTATTTATATGACCTTTACCTTATAGACACTTGCCCTACACCTTGTAGACTACCATGCATATATTTTACCTTTTTTTTTTTAATATATTTTATTGCCTTAGATCATGTACTCCAACTAGTTGTACATGGTTTGCCTCAAATTGTGTATTTCTTGCTCTGGGTGAGTTTAAGTGTGAGCTAGTGAGGAGTTGCTACATTCTTTCCTTTTTGCTTTGTGTTAGCCAGCGTGTCCAGATTTTGTCCTGGTCTTTGTAAATTGGTCTGTCCTGGAGGAGGGGGTTGCTTGAGTTTTGCATTAAGGTGTTCTTACTGATCTCTTGCTCCTTAGGGAGTTGTGCTGTTTTCGAGGAGGGGGCTTCTGGCTTGAGGTTTTATTAGTTAAGTGGAATTTTGTAGTTAAACGTTATCACCAGTGACACGAACCTCGTAAGTTGTCTCATATTTGTATTAATAGAAGTTGTTTCGTGAGCTGCTCAGAGCTGGGCTGTTTTTTTTTTTGGTTTTCTTTGGTGCTGGCAGGCTTGTCGACAGTGGAATAACCCATAGGAGAAGCTTGCTGAGAAGGTTCTCCATTGCTATTAAGTGCAGTCCCCATAAATAGGGAATCAAAAGTCCTGTCCATCTCAGTGAATCTGTCAAGCGAAGGGTCTCCCCCTAAGGAGACAATGACTGATTGTTTCTGGACTTTAAAGGCTTTGAACTCTCAGGTGGGGGACATGAACAGACAAAAAATATATTAATACAGGTGGGACAGAAAATCCTTCATTTCTGCTCCTTTTCACAATGACAGTAAGGCAAAACTGTTC